TCAACTTGTCCAGATTGATTTTGGTCTCCTTAAGAAGTATGTGTATATAATTTTAAAGTTCTTCCTAAGAGCTTATGTTGTTCTTTTTCTCTAAAGAGTAAGTTCAGATATTTGGTGTTCAGTTTTTGGCTAGTTATGGTTAACTCTCATTGGCGTGACACGCATCTAAGCTTTATAACTGGTCTGACTGCACATATGCTTGTTGCCTGAAGGATGGCATCTAGGAGCTAACCATATTGTGAACCCTTTCTGATCTGAACTAATCTACTGTTCTAGATTCTTCTTTGAAGCCATTCCCTCATATATTCACTGTTCTTTGGCCAGGCTGAGTTGCTGACTTTCACTTCCAGATGCTCTGCTGTGTTGTCCGCCTCCTCCTCCACCGCTGTATCTCTGCCTGAGATAGCCTTCTGCACCTTTTGCTTGCAGGAATGCGTTCTTCAAAAAGATCACTCGGGCTCTGGTGTTGTCCATGTCTGTGGGCCATTCTTGTCCTGTTCTCTGGCACTGTGTACACGCCTCTGCTGTAGGACTTCCTGGGTGACAGTAACATTCCTTCAGCAGTCCTTTGTACCATTCAGTCTCTTCCAGGTCTACAATTATATGCACTTTATAGTAATCTGAAAGGCTTTCTAAGAAAGTGCTTTCAGACCATGGGCCAGTGTTGTTTTTCTCTGAGTTGTTAGTCAGTAAGGTGGTAAGTGTTGAACTTGACCTAAAATGCTGGCCCTTTATTTGTTATTTTTCCCCCCTCCTACAGCTAAAACTTAATGTACATTTAAAACATTTCCTTTGCCCAGTGTGGTGGTGCACGCCTTTAGTCCCAGCACTTGGGAGGCAGAGGCAGGTGGATCTTTGTGAGTTCAAGGCCTGCCTGGTCTACATAGTGATTTCCTGGTCAGCTGGGGCTACAGGGAGACCCTGTCTCAAGCACCCCCCCCAAAAAAAAACCATTTTCTTTAATTTACACCTGAGTGTGGTGGCAACATGCCTGTAATCCTAGCGTTTGGGAGATGGACGGAGGACCCTGTCTCAAGAAAATGATGAGATTTTATTTTGCAGGGAGGGAACAGAATGAGGGGTAGTTGCCAATAGTAGTTCATGATTCTACATCTGAAATGTTTTGTTTTGTAGCACTGGAGATGGGACCCAAGACTTCACACATGCTAGGCAAACGCTCTGCCTTTGAGCTACAGCCCAGTTTTGAAGGCTTTTTGTTTGCTTTTCTTTTCTTAAAGTCTTAAAAAAGCTCAGATACACCCTTTTAGCGGACCCAGGTTTGTAGGTTGGTGGCTGTGTTCTGCCTCATGATTTACTTCACAGTCTACCCTGGTGTCTGAAATTCCACCACAGCCGGCTCTGTGAGAAGCACGCCATGTCCTTGGGTAAGCAGGATTGCTTGTAGGTCACCTGAGTACAAGGCCCAAAGGCACAAGGGCAAGTGGGAGGGTAGAAGTGTTCAACAGAGGGTGGGAGCGCACTGGCCTTCATTGTCCTCTCTCCCTGCAAGGTGAGTTGAGAATGAAGAAGAGGGGTGTAAATAAGTACCCAAGTTGTAAGCTGGGTGAGAGTGGAAGGCTTATCTTTGTCAGTTGTTGAACCATCTCACCAGCCCCAGAAGGCTTCTCTTAATATTCTGCTGTAGGGGTGGGACTGATAGATTTTGCTAGGTGATTGTTAGTGGCTGTCTAACCAGTTTGAGAACTCAGTACTGGTGCAAGCTGTTTCTGGCACAGCACTAGTACTTGCCAAGCCCAGTGACTCCCATCTTCTCAAGGGTGTCCACTTTGGTCTGCCAACCCTTTCCAGGTTCATTTGGAAGGTGGAGGAATAAAACCCCAGAGAGGAAGGCTTGTCAGCTGCCATTCTAAGCAGTACAGCCCAGTGCTTTAAAAGATGTTAAGTGCAATGGGAGGTGAAGAATACTTGATCCTCCACCACCGCTACCACTATCACCTTGACCTTAGGAAGGGAAATGTGGATAGACAGGACACCAGCCATGGTCTTTGGTTAGAGATGAGATGGGGAGAGGTTAGCTTGTAGGAGTTTGGTTTAATAATGTGGTCTAATTTAGAAAAGGAACAGCTAGAGGTAGGGAGACTGGGTGACTGATCTTGACAAGACCTGAAGCAGGGCACATTGCAGATGAGAGGTTGTATATCACTGGGGAAGGGGCAGAGAGGGGTTCATAAGGCATCTCCAGAGGGGTGCGAGCTGCTGGAAGTAGGAACTCCAGGCAGATTCTGCCGGTCTTAAGACTTTGTGCTTAGAAGACAGGGCCAATGAAGGTTTAATACGGAAATAGGGATGGGGACAGAAGCTTGGGAAAATGGTGAAAATGCATTTTCAGCAGCTCTGGAGCACAGGGCCACACTGGACAAACGGACTGATGACAGCGTGTCTTGTCGCAGCCCCTTTTGTTAGGATACAAAGGATAGAAATAGCCTTAAAGTGGTCTTCATCCATTTGATTTGAATCTTGCAACGCTACAGACAAGGGCAGCATAGAGTGAGAAGACCCCCTGCTTAGGCAGCGGACTTCAGCTTGTGGACTCAGACTTGGGACTCACAGGCTGCCTGGCTCTGGGCAGACTCTGGCCTGTGGTCGGTCATGGAAACATAGCTGGGGAAAGATAGGCAAAGGCTGATCACATGGTATCCTCTGCTGAAAGTCAGTGATTCTAAGTGTCTTAATGTAGCAAGTGGTTTGGTTTTTATATATAATAATTTCAGTGTGAGAGTTTGGAAGCTGAAGAATTTCAAGCTATAACCTTTTTGTCTACCTTTATTGTATTTTAGCAGTTCCTAAAGAGCTGAGGATGGAGATTGGTGGTAGAGTGTTTGTCTAGTATGCCCGAGGCTTTGGATTCCATTCTTAGCACTGCAAGAATAAGACAAAACAAAACCAACTATTTGTAGCCTGGCGGGGTGGCGCAGGCCTTTAATCCCAGCACTCAGGAGGCAGAGGCAGGCAGATCTCTGTTAGTTTGAGACCAGCCTAGTCTCCATAGTGAATCCAGGCCAGCTGTGGCTACAGGCAGACCCTGTCTCAAAAAGAAGCCCCCTGGTATCCTAGCACTCAGGTGACAGGCAGGCATGATTGCTAGCTTCAGAGCAGCCTGGGCTAAACTGGGATTTCAAGACCAGCTTGGGCTTTATAGCAAGATACTGTCTCAAAAAATTTGTGATAAAGTTGAGTTTATTGTATTTTCAAAGGAATAGTTTAGAAGATATTTGTGTTTAGAATCTGACAGTTTTATGGATGAATTTCTCTGCTTATTTTCTGAAATGATCCCTAGAAAGCATAGAATACCTTACTTTCTATTCCATGTGTTCTCTGTAAACCCTCACACACATTGATTTGCTTCATTGTATTGTCTCATGGTTTGTGACCATTTTGTTTTTGCTATCTTTTTTAAAGATCTGAAGTTTTAAAATATGATAGTCTGGGAGGCTTCACTTTTAGATGCTTTTCAATAGCATTTTCATTGGCTCAGAGAGTCAATCTGAGGCGATAGACTAGGACCCTCTTGTCTCTTCAGCAACATAAAAGGTGCTACAACCAGTTTAAAATAGCTTACCGTGAAGGTATCTCTGAAAACGAGCACTCCCTTTCCCTGTTTTACGTGTGGCCATTGTACATAGCATTCAGCATTTAAAGCAGGATATCCAAATGCCTCAAACTTGGCACTTTTCTTTTCCCTAGCAACAGAAGAGATCTCTGAAGCAAACCTTTCAACAGATACAAGAGGAGGAAGATGACAACTACCCAGGAAGCTACTCCCCCCAGGACCCTTCTGCGGGGCCCCTCTTGGTATGTCTTACCCAGAGCAGAATGGCACTGATGGCCGTGTGAAGACCATTGCCACAAGGTGGCGCTTGTGATCTAGTGTGGATTTTCAGAGGGCAGCTGCTGCTAGAGGCAAGAGCCCAGTTCATGAAGCTTGTCAGGCAGCCACCTTTGCCCTGCCTCGCCTGCCAGGACTCCTTAATGGTTTTATGTTTTGTAGAGTACTTGAACTTGGTTTTTCATTACCTAGAAATTAAAAAGTATTCTTTAAAAATAGATTGTTGTCAGGGGTTAGGTCGTGTTCTAAAGCCTTCTGTGGCTTGTTTTATGTTAAGAGTTTATGACTGTCTTGAGAACAATCTTGCAGCAACCAAGAGCAGATTTGCTACTCTGTATCTTCTATTTTAAATACTGCAACAAGTAATGCTGAGGTTGTATCAGCATTACTTTGCCCCTTCTATTTAGCATCAAAGGAAATGAGACTTAAAAGCCTGATTAAGTGGCGTGTAAGTAACTTGCCCAGTATTTTTTTGTTAAAGCTCCGGGAGAATTTAAAGAGAGAGAGAAGAAAAGGAAAGGTTATGCTTTCTGAGTAATTCTATCTAAAGCTCCTTCTCTCCCCGCTTGTTTACTTTCCATTTTCCTGATTCCTGCAGTTACATCAGGATATGTATTCACAACTAAGGATTTGGAACTAGGCTCCACAAATGAGAGAGAGAGAACACATTGTTTCTTTTTCTGAGTGTGTTAGCCTCACTTTGTAGGACAGTTTTTAGTTTCATCCATTTACCTGCAAATTTCATGATTTTGTTTTTCTTTGCCACTGAGTAGAACTCTGTAGTGTAAATGTGCTGCATTCCACTCTCCATTCATCAGTTGAGGGACATTTAGGTTGTTTCCATTTCCTAGTTATTGTGAAAAGAACAGCAACAAGCATGACTAAGCAAGTATATACCAAGGAATGGCATAGGTAGGTCATATGGTGAATCTATTTTCAGTTTTCTTAAGAGTTCTCTGATTTTTATTGACTCCCTGCTTTGGATTTTTTGTATGGTGCTGAGAAGTAAACCAATACCTGCACACACTCCTCAAGTGCTCTGCCATAGACCTAAATGCCTAGGCTCCGTATGAACTTAAAAAGCAACTTGTCAGTTACAAAATAAAGCCTAGGGGCTGAGTAGATGGCTTAAGTCATAAATAGCTTCCCTTGCAAGGACAAGGACCTGAATTTCATTCCCGGAGCCACGGTTAAAAAAGAAACCCGAGCAGGCTGGCCGCAGATGAGTGATCTATGACCACTCCAGTTATGTATATTTGGCTATGTTTACAGTACCATATATGAATTCTCTCCCATTGAGAGGGCTTTAAGTCCAATAAGATAGCTGTCGATTACCCCCAAGATAAAAGTTCCACTACTGCACCAATAGAGATAGTTTGCTATGCTGGTCGTTGTTGTGCTTATTAGGCTTTATACTGGGGCTGGACCCTTGACGGACTTTCTCCTTAGCCGCATAATATCCTCTAATACTATGAGAGCCAGTCTGCAGGGAGGAGACTTCCTGGTCAGTACCGGCTCCATTGCTCCAAGTCCTGTGTCCAAAATATGGCCTGCTTTTTTTTGTACTGCCACAGGGTCTTACCTTCAAGATCTGGCAAACTCTACAAAATCTCTAAATTGAGTTATATAAATGTAAAATCATTAGAATGTCTTTCATATAATTAGACTTGTAGCAAAGTAACAATTCATTGACCATGTTGTTATTCTTTGTAATTGTTTTCAAAGAGCTTGTATGTAAATCATGCATCTTTCTTTTAACTGTTTGAACTTGTCGCATGTTTTGTCAGTACTCAAATTATCTTTCTCATGTCAGTTGTGTGCTTTCTTTAATGTTTTGCAGCGTCGAGTAGAGCAGCCCCTGTATGGTTTAGATGGTAGTGCTGTAAAGGAGGCCCCAGAGGAGCAGTCTGCCCTGCCAACTCTCATGTCAGTGATGCTGGCTAAGCCTCGCCTAGACACAGAGCAGTTAGCACAACGGGGAGCCGGCCTTTGCTTCACTTTTGTTTTGGCTCAACAAAACAGTCCCTCTTCTATGGGTTCTGGCAACACAGAACATTCTTGCAGCTCACAAAAACAGATCTCCATCCAGCACAGACAGACCCAGTCTGACCTCACAATAGAAAAGATATCTGCACTAGAAAACAGTAAGAATTCTGACTTAGAGAAGAAGGAAGGAAGAATAGATGATTAAGAGCCAATTGTGATTTGAGACGGCAGATTGATGAACAGCAAAAGATGTTAGAGAAATACAAGGAACGATTAAATAGATGTGTCATGATGAGTAAGAAGCTCCTTGTAGAAAAGTCAAAACAAGAGAAGATGGCATGTAGAGACAAGAGAATGCAGGACCGCTGTCCGGCATGGAGCCTCCTTTACTGAACAATGGACAGATGGTTACGCTTTCCAAAACCTTATCAAGCAACAGGAAAGGATAAATTCACAGAGAGAAGAGATAGAAAGACAGCGGAAAATGTTAGCAAAGCGGAAGCCTCCTGCCATGCGTCAGGCCCCTCCAGCAACCAATGAGCAGAAACAGCGGAAAGGCAAGACCAATGGAGCTGAAAATGAAACGTTAACCTTAGCAGAATATCATGAACAAGAAGAAATCTTCAAACTCAGATTAGGTCATCTTAAGAAAGAGGAAGCAGAGATCCAGGCTGAGCTGGAAAGGCTAGAAAGGGTTAGAAATCTACATATCAGGGAATTAAAAAGGATACATAATGAAGATAATTCACAATTTAAAGATC